CCCCAAAACCCCAAAACCCCAAAACCCCTATAAACCTGGCTATGGTTGAATTCTCTTATGTTTCTGCCAGCTCGCGTAAGTTTTGATCAGTGAAAAACTCCTCAGTTGAATCTTCGCATAGAATCCCTATCGATCTAGTTTTTCTCTCAACATTTCTGGCAGTAACGCTAATTTTGGGAAGTAGTTGTTCAGGAAAGCCTTCGATAGATGCTGAACCCTCTTTTCTAAGGGATCCATGTGTGTTGAGAAACTCAGAAACTTCTATTCTCATCATTTTATCTGCATCTCTTAATGTCTCTGAAGATGATTTAGTAGAATGACTCAATTTAACAAAAGTGTTATGGCAGGTAGAGTTGAGAAAATCAACATAATTCTCAATCCTTTGAGAACCAGCACTATGTTCTTCCTCTTTTTCTTTCTTTACTACAATTTTTGAGATTTGAGGGGGTTCGTACTTCTCAACAACAGTTTGGAATACTTGATTATGCCTAAAAAGATTATCTTGGAGGTTTTCCAGTCTTTCTTCAAGACTTGGCTCACTTTCTCCATGTGGTTCACTTTCAGAAATGCTGTTCATGGCATTAAAGTTAGAAGAGCAGTAATATTCTCCAATAGTAGTGTCTTTATTAACTGTGCTTGCCCATACATTTGAGTTTAAGTTTGAAAAACTAGATCTTTTAGGATCAGAAGCTTACGAGAAGTCAGATTCATTAAGATGAATCAAGTTACTACTGCCTTGGATTTCATAACTTGGAGGAGGATCAATATTTGAGGAGTTTTGTTCATTATCTTCACGATTGCTTAATGACATTTTAATTCTAATTAAAAGGTGTATACTTTCAAGTTATATTCATTATATTTCGGTCGAAAAGGTAATTTAACAGTAGAAATACACCAAAGTAATATTTAAATGTGGGTTATGAATTTCTCCAATTACTTCATTGTAGTAATCTTACTTCTATTCTTATCAAAGGAATATTTTAAGATAGATGTTTCTAAATTATAAACCAAATCAAAATTCATGAGTCTCATGCATGTTCATTGTACTTTTAAGTACTCTCTTCTTCTCTTAACTGAGAATCAATTTTCTACTTTTAGACTAGATGACATTGAAGCTCATTAAAGGGCTCTATTGAACTTTAGAGTTTTTATTTTATAGTTCACTTTTGAATAAAGAAGAAATTACAGAGTAAATTTTGTCCAATAAATTTCATCTAACAGGGATGCTCACAGAGACATCAAGCTTTCTTCAACTTAAATCCAACTCTGATTTAATTATTTCCTTTGATTAAAGCTACCTTCGAACAAGGATAGCAGACTTATTAAAATTATGGGAGAACTTTGTTTCTTCTTACTTATAAGTTTATGGACTACTGCATTGTTTTATCATGCTTATCTTGTAATTATCCTCCCAGTATCACTTACTCTCTATCTTAAACTATTCAAACTCATCTCTTCCTCATTATAATCCCTTTCTCTTCTATCTCACTTGAGCCAACCTTACAAAAACATCCCAAACTCTACTTCCAGTCCTCGAAATCTCAAAATCGAAAATTCTTCTCCAACCTCTCTCTTCTCTCTACCTTCTCCATATAACCTCTATCCTCCTGCTTTTCTCCTTCTTCTCCCAGCCCTACTTCTATCCCCGAATCAACTTAATTCCTCTAAATATTCTTATTTTCTTCTTTCTGGTCGTCAAACAGTATTTTTTTATTTTGATGAAATAAAATACTTAATTTTTCTTTTAAAATCTAGAATTTTAGGCTGAGGCCAAGTTTAAGGTTGAAGCCTTAAGAAGCTTGGTTATAAAAAGAAATCACTTAAAGAGTTTCTGAACAGGCAAAGAAGAGGTTAGCCGAAGATTGAGGAGATTGGAAAGCTGGAGAGCCACAGAGAATATTTTGATATAGAGTTTTAAGTAGAAATTTTAGAGGGGTTACAGGAAAGAGGTCCAGAGATGCTTTAGTGAGAGAAATCAATTGGAATGAGTTATGTTGGAGTGGAGGATATGATTTTGTGTGAATATTATGTGGGGGGTGTATGGAAACTAAGTTCATAATTCTTCTCTTTTGAAAAGAAAAGAGCTCTAATTTGTTTATAGGATGAATACTTTGGGTGCTTAAATGAGAGAAAGAGGTAAAATTATGACATATTCTGAGAGAAAAGAGAGCATATTGAGCTTATAATTAGTTGGATTTTCTTCAACTAGCAAGCAGAAGGACCTGAATGAATTTATTTTTGACTAAATTTACCTTTTCTACTCATTGACAACTCAAAACCATCCATTATCTCTGGCAACCTTCTTCTCACTCCCAAAACTCTCATCTTTATACCCTCATCTGATTCCTCCCTTATCCTCCATCCTCCTCTCCCCCACTTCACTCCCTCTCCCTCTAAATCTAATTTTCAATCCCACCTTCTCTCCCAGGGGTTTTGGGGTTTTGGGGTTTTGGGG